CTCGCCCTCCTGGTGACGGACACTGCCGTTAAGGTCGCGGAGAGGACAACTTGGATCCACGCCAACCACTGTCGTGCGGTGCTGCCACTGAGGGCCATAGACGAGGACACCGAGGGCGCGGACGGACCAGGCCCATCCGCGGCTCCCTACGCTGAAGAGGTTGGCCGGCGTGCGGCCACCATCGGTGAAGCAGGCCAACAACAACACCCAGAGAATCCCAGCGTTGCCGAGGCAACCCCCCTTTGCCCAACTCCCCAGCCCCCGGACCCCAAGGCCACACCCCAAATCCCGAGCACTCTGCCCAACCGAGTGCTGAGGCCAAGGCTTCAACGCAAATAGAGTCTTGCCGCTCCAAGACCAAACATCGCCATGACCACTAACGCTCCACACACGCTCATAGGGAGCGGTGCCACTGACTGCAAGGCGGCACTGTTCGACCGGCTGGTCCTGGACCACCTGACCGCGTCTGTGGGAGGCGTATGCACGATCATCGGGTCGTCCTGCTGTACATATATTCCGGCCAACGATGAGGACGGAGGTCTTATCCAACAGGGCATAGCCAATCTGACTAGACTCCGGGACGCCATGCAAGCGGACAATGTCACGGACACTCCTCACGGTCTGGACTGGCTCCTGTCCTCCTGGCGAAGTGTGCTCATTAATCTTGGTTTAGCCCTATTGACCGTTATGATTTTATTTTCATGTGTATTACCCATGGTGTTTCGGGCCGTTGGTAAAATGATATCCACTCACTTTGTGTCCATTCAACACAGAGACCCTGAGGCGGACCTGGCCGCGGTCCCACTGAACTCCGATCCTGATTATATCAGCGATTCGGACGACGACTTTGTCTAACGTTTTTCTTTCTTGTTTACTTTGTTTTTATTTTTCCACTTGTTCCGCCCACAATTTAGGGGGAGGGTATCACAGCGAAGAGCTTTGACCACACCCCCGTAATACAAGAGGCTTGGGTGACGGCGGCGTAACCTGCCCATCAACAACTCTTCTTTTACTCAGGGGCCAAGGTCAATACTCACACACCTGAATGTGATCTCTGTAAAACTGGGGTTTTTACATTATCACGGGAAAGGAGTGTGATGGCAAGCGACTAGTATTCATGCAACCCTGCCTGTGTCTATTCATATGTCATATGTCCCTGTTCCAGGAAGGAGCCGGGCCCCCCCGACACCTACAGACAATGGCGCAAATCACTGTCCTCCCTTTCGCCTCTTGCATATCTATCGGTCTGTATGTGTGCATCTTCTACATCCTGCTGCCTGTCACACCCTTGTGCCTTTCGCCTCTTTGCATATCTATCGGTCTGTATGTGTGCATCTTCTACGTCCTGCTGTCTGTCACACCCTTGTGTCTTCCGTGTCTTGCATCTGTATGACCTGCATTTAGACCATTGTCTGTCTGTTCGCACCTCGTTCCCAGACGGCGCCAAACGCTCCCCATGCGCCTCCTCACGGGTGGCCCCCTCCAATCTGTTGTGGGCGGGACTGTCTCTCGTGTGTGTCTTGTATACAGGAAACTTGGGGCTCTGCCCTCAGAGCTAGTACATGCTGCCTTGTGTATGTGCTGACTCTCCGTACGTATGTTAACAATAAACTTACGCTTTTGATCAGACAAAGACCTTTGAGTTTTCTCCTTCATTGGGTAGAAACTTCCTTAACAATTGTCAGTGACGAGAGTGGCCTTCCTCAGCACTGATTGGCTGTTCAGTGATGAGAGTGGCCTTCCTCAGCACTGATTGGCTGTACAGCTCACGGAGCAGAGTTTGTGGTGTTTGGGTTCTTTGCTGGCCTGTTTTACTACACTAATGAGTTTTGTCCTGTGTTTGAGAGTGAGGAAATTGAACCAGGTGGAGGTATTGTATGTGAGGATGGATTCAATGAGTGAGATATACACAGTTGATAAAATGTCTTATGAGGGCTTTGGATCCTTTAAAACCCCTCGTCGGGTCCATGCTTTTGTTTGTGCAGGTGGGTGTAAACAGAGATCCTCCTGTTGACCACGGCAGGACACAATAGGTTTAGGAGCGAAGCAGAGCAGGGCCTGGTTAGTGCTGTGATGGGAGACCTCCAGGTGCCGCAGTGGGGCAGTGTAAAAAGCCACTTGGTTTAAAAGTGAGTGGTAAAAGTAGAGTGCTGATGCAAGAACTCACTGAAGTCACAGTCGTCTGCTCTGAAGGCAAGTTTATTTGTGTAGAGCAGATCTCCCACTCTGCTTTATAAAACAAGAAAGAAATGAAACTCAAGAATTAATAAAAAACGTAAATATTCAGTCCATGAATCCTCCAGGTGTCGCACAGAAACAGCTCTTTACACCACTCTATCTCTTTCTGACAAGGTCTTAGAAAAAAACAGGTCTCTCTCTCACACTCTGTGTGTGTGTGTCTCGCTCTCTCTGTCTCTCTCTCTCTCTCCCTCACCTCTCTGCTGTACCCCCCTCTCTCTCCCACCTCTCTGCTGCACCCCCTCTCTCTTTCTCTCTCTCCCTAACCTCTCTTTCTCTCCCTCAACTCTCTGCTGAATCCCTCTCTCTCTCTCCCTCACCTCTCTTTCTCTCCCTCAACTCTCTGCTGTACCTCTCTCTCTCTCTCTCCCTCACCTCTCTGCTGTACCCCCCCTCTCTCTCGCTCTCTCCCTCACCTCTCTGCTGAATCCCTCTCTCTCTCCCTCAACTCTCTGCTGTATCTCTCTCTCTCTCTCTCTCTCTCTCTCTATCTGTATCACTATCTCACCAGTTCTTAGGATAAAAGACATTCTGTGAGAGCTGTCTGCATGCCTCTGTTGCCACTTATCATCGGAGTGAATGAGTTCAAGGCCAAAACTACAGGGTCTCAGCTTCACAATGAGCTTTATTCTTTGTGAATTATAAAGCTCTAGCGTCTTCACACATTAGCATCATAAGCTACAGTTGGTCTCCCATTTAAGTGGGGCGGCTGCGGCTGTAAAAGTGCCAAACTGTGGGTGTGTCCTTAGGCAAGACACTTCACCTACATTAGAATGACTCTGCTGCACTTCTGTCCCTCCCTCCCTCTCTCTCAGTCTCTCTCTCCCTCTCTTGTCAGTGGACACGTGTGGAGGAAGGACCTTATCGTGACTCAGGGCTGCATCCCAAACCATCACCATACCTCCTTTCCTCTCAGCCTAGCTCCAAGTTTGGCTCAGGAGGGAGGTCAAATATGAGACACATTCGGCTTCAATCTGTTTGTGTTTTATAGCGTGGATTAAGATAAATACAACTCTAGGTCTGTGAGAAACAATGTTGTAACATTGTTTCAACATTGTAGAATGTTGTAGTTCTGGATCTCCTCAGTCCTGTGTCTACAGCCTCAGTCCTGGATCTACAGCCTCAGTCCTGGGTCTACAGTCTCAGTTCTGGGTCTACAGTCTAAGTCCTGGGTCTCACAGACACACACACACTGAACACTAACATATGGTACAATGTAAGAATAAGTGACTGCTGTGTTTGCTCCATTCATAAGTGTTTTAGCCCTCCCCCCTCGCTGATGTGTGTGTGTGTGTGTGTGTGTGTGTGTCTGTGTGTGTGCACGTGTGTGTGAATGCACGTGTGTGTGTGTGTGCACATGCAGCCACATGCATGCTGATGCTGTGGCTGCAGACTTGAGCACTTGAGCTCCCTGGTCACGTCACCACAGGCTGCGGCAGCACCATTCACCACAGCTCTGAGGCCTTTGAGACATCTGCACCAGGTGAGCCCTGTACCCCCACTGAGAGGACACAAGAGGACCTCTGGTCTTTCTCTCTGGTCTCTCACTCTGGTCTCTCTGGTCTCTCACTCTGGTCTCTCTGGTGTCTCTCTGGTTGCTCTCTCTGGTCTCTCTCTGGTCCCTCTCTCTGGTTTCTCTCTGGTCTCTCTCTCTGGTCTTTCTTTCTGGTCTCTCTCTGGTCTCTCTCTGGTCTCTCAATCAGAAATACAAAAAAACACATTACTTATATAATCATTATCTACAAAGTAAAAAAATATGAAGACATAAAAATCCAAAATCACTAAAAAGGGAATTTTTTTTAGAGATTTTGATTCACTTCATGTCTAAGTTTCTAGTTTGTTCTTCTCTGTATTATTTTTTGTGATTCTGGTCTGTGAAAAGCGTTATACAAATAAACTTTACTTCCTTATTTCTAACACAGTGACAGCTCTCTAAGGCGTGTGTCCCGACTTGAATGAGACTTCAGGACCAGTTGGGGCGATTCTGAACTGCACTGGAACAAACATACAATCTCACTAATGGTGTAATCAAGTTACAGTCATAACTTAAAGTAGCAATATGTTAGATTTTCATGTCAAGTCATCATTAAAGGCCCTAATCCGTCAAAAGGCATTAATACACCATACTCTTTTCCAGCAATTCTTTTACTGATAACAGTCGTTCAGAGATATTTTAATTTCTAAATTAGTTTTACAGCCTCTAAATCTGGTTATTGTTTTCATTTCAATTTCCCGCCCTCCATTGTTTTACCAATCAGAAAGTTGCCAGAACTCACCGCGCTGAGCTAATCTCACTGGTAAAGTACCATGTGGCGCAGAACTAAAAAAGGTCTCGTTATGATTCTCAAATCATTAACGACAAAACAAGGAATAAAACGAGGATTTCTATCTTTGTGAAAAAGGTGTTGGTTATAGATTTGTTGTTGACAGAACTCTTGTCTATTCATCTGTTACGGTCCCAGCTGGATTTGTCTGCATATCTGGCAACCAGAGTCAGGGAAAGCAGGAAAGGTTGCAGTACCGCTTTTGGCCAGATTAGTACGTACTGCTCCTTTAAATCGTCCTGTGACCCCCACTTTGAGAACCCCGATTGTGTCACATCAAAAGAACCCACTTCAGAGTGTTCTGAGCTATTATCTATTATACTTGTTCAATGCTTCAGATCCATACATTGAAGTGTGACTTTATGTCTTTCCCATTAGAGAGGGGTCCGTGTCTGAGAGTCTGATCCAGGAGAGTGCTGCTGACTGTGTTTAGCACAAATGAATAAAAGCAGCTCTCGGCACGACGCTGAAATAACCGCCAGCTGCAGCCGTACGGACGCCACAGATAACCACAAAAGCAGCGTGATGAAAACCCTCTTCTGTCTGAGAGGGCTGTCTTTGTGAGCGGCGAGCCCAGGTAATAAAGCTCTTTTCAATTAGAGTGTACTGTACCATTCACACACATATATAAAAAAAAAATTGTCCACTCACCTTTGGCCCTCCGCGGGCGGTTATCCCTCTCTAAGCTCGGGTCCTCTACCAGAGGCCAGGGAGCTTGAGGGTTCTGCGCAGTATCTTTGCTGTTCCTAGCACTGCACATTTCTGGACCGAGATGTCCGAGGTTGTTCCGGGGATCCGCTGTAACCACTCATCTAGCTTCGGGGTCACTGCCCCGAGTGCACCGATCACCACGGGCACTACTGTCACCTTTACCCTCCAGGCCCTCTCCAGCTCCTCTCTGAGACCTTGGTATTTCTCAAGCTTTTCATGTTCTTTTTTCCGGATGTTACCATCGCTTGGAATTGCCACGTCCACCACCACGGCTGTCCTCTGCCCTTTGTCTACCACCACGATGTCAGGTTGGTTTGCCATTACCATTCGGTCGGTCTGTATCTGGAAGTCCCACAGGATCTTCGCACGCTCATTTTCCACCACCTTTGGAGGAGTTTCCCACTTAGACCTTGGGGTTTCCAGCCCATACTCTCCACAGATGTTTCTGTACACTATGCCAGCCACTTGGTTATGGCGTTCCATGTAGGCCTTCCCTGCCAGCATCTTGCACCCTGCAGTTATGTGTTGGATCGTCTCAGGTGCCTCTTTGCACAACCGACACCTTGGGTCTTGTCTGGTGTGGTATATCTGGGCCTCTATCGCTCTGGTGCTCAGTGCCTGTTCCTGTGCAGCCATGATGAGTGCCTCTGTGCTGTCCTGTAGGCCAGCCCTTTCTAGCCATTGGTAGGACTTCTTGAGATCAGCCACTTCTGTTATGCTCCGGTGGTACATGCCGTGTAGGGGCTTGTTCTCCCATGATGGGCTCTCCTCCAGCACCTCCTCATCTCGCCACTGCCTGAGACATTCACTGATGGTGGTAATGCAGCAGTGAGGGCAATACCTACCACCACAATCACTGAAACCAATGAGCTGATATACACTTCAGCAGCGGTGATCCTAGAGATGCTTGGCTATAAGAGCAACCATGGGAGCCATGGACAATACCCACCATGGAAAAGACGGTTGGAAGCTATGATCAAGGCGGCTCGAAGAGAAGTGAGTCAATTAACAGAGGCCCAGAGAGGTGCAATGAAAAGACCAGTACCCAGAAAGTACAGCCATATGACCATACCTGAAGCACTCGAAACTGCCAAGCAAAGGCTCCAAGCCCTCCAAGAGCCCTCTCCTCTCTCACTACTGTCTCCTTTACCTTCAGACCCTCTCCTCTCTCACTACTGTCTTCTTTACCTTCAGACCCTCTCCTCTCTCACTACTGTCTCCATCACCTTCAGACCCTCTCCTCTCTCATACTGTCTCCTTTACCTTCAGACCCTCTCCTCTCTCACTACTGTCTTCTTTACCTTCAGACCCTCTCCTCTCTCACTACTGTCTCCTTTACCTTCAGACCCTCTCCTCTCTCACTACTTTCTCCTTTACCTTCAGACCCTCTCTCCTCTCACTACTGTCTCCTTTACCTTCAGACCCTCTCCTCTCTCACTACTGTCTCCTTTACCTTCAGACCCTCTCCTCTCTCATACTGTCTTCTTTACCTTCAGACCCTCTCCTCTCTCACTACTGTCTCCATCACCTTCAGACCCTCTCCTCTCTCACTACTGTCTCCTTTACCTTCAGACCCTCTCCTCTCTCACTACTGTCTCCTTTACCTTCAGACCCTCTCCTCTCTCATACTGTCTTCTTTACCTTCAGACCCTCTCCTCTCTCACTACTGTCTCCATCACCTTCAGACCCTCTCCTCTCTCACTACTGTCTCCTTTACCTTCAGACCCTCTCCTCTCTCACTACTGTCTCCTTTACCTTCAGACCCTCTCCTCTCTCACTACTGTCTCCTTTACCTTCAGACCCTCTCCTCTCTCACTACTGTCTGCTTTACCTTCAGACCCTCTCCTCTCTCATACTGTCTTCTTTACCTTCAGACCCTCTCCTCTCTCACTACTGTCTCCATCACCTTCAGACCCTCTCCTCTCTCACTACTGTCTCCTTTACCTTCAGACCCTCTCCTCTCTCACTACTGTCTCCTTTACCTTCAGACCCTCTCCTCTCTCACTACTGTCTCCATCACCTTCAGACCCTCTCCTCTCTCACTACTGTCTCCTTTACCTTCAGACCCTCTCCTCTCTCACTACTGTCTCCTTTACCTTCAGACCCTCTCCTCTCTCACTACTGTCTTCTTTACCTTCAGACCCTCTCCTCTCTCACTACTGTCTCCTTTACCTTCAGACCCTCTCCTCTCTCACTACTGTCTTCTTTACCTTCAGACCCTCTCCTCTCTCACTACTGTCTCCTTTACCTTCAGACCCTCTCCTCTCTCACTACTGTCTCCTCTACCTTCAGACCCTCTCCTCTCTCACTACTGTCTCCTTTACCTTCAGACCCTCTCCTCTCTCACTACTGTCTCCTTCACCTTCAGACCCTCTCCTCTCTCACTACTGTCTCCTTTACCTTCAGACCCTCTCCTCTCTCACTACTGTCTCCTTTACCTTCAGACCCTCTCCTCTCTCACTAATGTCTCCATCACCTTCAGACCCTCTCCTCTCTCACTACTGTCTCCTTTACCTTCAGACCCTCTCCTCTCTCACTACTGTCTACTTTACCTTCAGACCCTCTCCTCTCTCACTACTGTCTCCTTTACCTTCAGACCCTCTCCTCTCCCACTACTGTCTCCTTTACCTTCAGACCCTCTCCTCTCTCACTACTGTCTCCTTTACCTTCAGACCCTCTCCTCTCTCACTACTGTCTCCATCACCTTCAGACCCTCTCCTCTCTCACTACTGTCTCCTTTACCTTCAGACCCTCTCCTCTCTCACTACTGTCTTCTTTACCTTCAGACCCTCTCCTCTCTCACTACTGTCTCCTTTACCTTCAGACCCTCTCCTCTCCCACTACTGTCTCCTTTACCTTCAGACCCTCTCTCCTCTCACTACTGTCTCCTTTACCTTCAGACCCTCTCCTCTCTCACTACTGTCTCCTTTACCTTCAGACCCTCTCCTCTCTCACTACTGTCTCCTTTACCTTCAGACCCTCTCCTCTCTCACTACTGTCTCCTTTACCTTCAGACCCTCTCCTCTCTCACTACTGTCTCCTTTACCTTCAGACCCTCTCCTCTCTCACTACTGTCTCCATCACCTTCAGACCCTCTCCTCTCTCACTACTGTCTCCTTCACCTTCAGACCCTCTCTCCTCTCACTACTGTCTCCTTTACCTTCAGACCCTCTCCTCTCTCACTACTGTCTCCTCTACCTTCAGACCCTCTCCTCTCTCACTACTGTCTCCATTACCTTCAGACCCTCTCCTCTCACTACTGTCTCCATTACCTTCAGACCCTCTCCTCTCACTACTGTCTTCATTACCTTCAGACCCTCTCCTCTCTCACTACTGTCTCCTTTACCTTCAGACCCTCTCCTCTCACTACTGTCTCCTTTACCTTCAGACCCTCTCTCCTCTTACAACTGTCTCCTTTACCTTCAGACCCTCTCTCCTCTTACAACTGTCTCCTTTACCTTCAGCCCCTCTCCTCTCACTACTGGCTCCTTTACCTTCAGACCCTCTCTCCTCTTACAACTGTCTCCTTTACCTTCAGCCCCTCTCCTCTCACTACTGTCTCCTTCACCTTCAGACCCTCTCCTCTCTCACTCACTTGGCATTTCTCCCCGTGTCTGCGTAGGTTTCCTCCTACAGCTAAAACATGTACAATAGGTCTGAATCGAGTCAGTGAATAGATGGAGTTGGTTGGGGGCTTTGATGCACCAGTGTGATCGGCGTCTTCTCATAGCCAACTACATACCTCATTGTTCACTCTTCACACCCAAATTTTCATTTCAAATTGCGCCATTTCCTGCTTTAAGTCCATGTTGTCTGCCTCTAGACAAGTCTGGTCATACTAAAAAGTTTGGACCCCCCTGTTTTAGAGCAATGCTGAGATTTCAAATGTATTCTTTTGAGCTGCTTTATGAACAAACGATCCACACTATTAAAAAATAAAAATGTGTTTTTTTAACATGTAAAAGTGTCAGAGTTAGCCATGTAAGCCAATTTTCATCCGCAGTCCCCAAGCCCCGGTGATCCAAGATGGCGCCCTATTCAAATGAATGGCTTGTGCTCAGTAGTTCATGGGACTTCATGGAGACTGGGAGATTAGCAGAACTCGCCTATATTTGGGCATTCTCCGGCCTTCCCGGTTCTGCGCAGTGGACGAGCGCCAAATACGCGCTTTGACCAATCAAAGCTGCTGATCAGAGCAGTGGTAGAGCGGGAAGGAAAGGAGCAGAGAATAATATTGCATCATCGTTAGGGTAAAACTAAATGATGTGTAAAACACTCAAGACACAATTTTACTTAAAACCACCTGGTGAGTGGTATTGCTGGTGTGTGTCTGCCAATCATGCAAGAGTTCGCAGATTCAAATCCAGCCAAGATCAAAAACTTTTTTATGACGGTTATTTCTTTATACATAAGATAAGATAAGATTTGCTTTATTTATCTCACATAGGAGAAATTTACATGTCACATTTGGCATGGATAGTCTCTATCCATGCCAAATGTGACATGTAAACTCAGATTGTGCAAAAGGAGGAAATGTGCAAACATGTTACATGCAGGTTATATGATATATATATATATATATATCTATAAATATCCCTATATACATATACAGTTTTTATATAACTGCCATTAAAAAAAAATGCCAATCTGCCAATCTTACGCACTATAGACGAATGTTTAATAACTGCGCCACTTAATTTGTGTTTTGGCAAAGAAAAAACCGAAAGATTCTATTGTTGTTTTAGGACATTTCATCAAGAATGGAGCCAACCAAAGATGGTGAAGAGTGATGGATTGAAAAATACAGGCAGAAAGTTGTGTAATTGGAACATGAGGTTTCATCTCTATATTGTTAAAATCTTCATTTCTGTTCTTGGACCGTTTAAGCTGTGTCTTATACTTTGCATTCTTTTATAAAAAAAATATATGTATTAATGCTCTTTCTTATTGTTCCATGTTTCTGATGTGGTTTTATTAAAGAAGAGAGAGAAATAAAATGTTTTTTTCTTTTGTTTTATATATATATATATATATATATATATATATATATATATATATATTTATATATATAATGTCATACATATTAAATTTGTATTTAATCTGACAAAGAAAAAATAATGACCTGTCCTGAATTGAACCAGGTATCTTCCGCATGAGAGGCAGTTATAAACCAAGTGCGCCAATTCTTCATGAAGTGTTAGGCCCAAGGACCCAACATCAGCAAATGTCATTGGTGGTCACTGGGGATTTGAACTAGCAACCATCAACACCGTAGACCTGTGCTTTTCCATCTGAGCCACTGGACCACTAGCTCTACTAATGCTGATTGTTGTCTTTTGTACAGGCTGCTTTCAACTGTATTTGTTGCCCACATGCCATTTTAAACGCCATATATTCCCCACATGCCGTTGTAAACGCCATTTATTGCCCACATGCCGCTTTACACGCCATTTATTCCCCACATGCCGTTTTAAACGCCATTTGTTGTCCACATGCCGTTTTAAACGGCATTCATTGCCCACATGCCGCTTTACACGCCATTTATTCCCCACATGCCGTTTTAAACGCCATTTGTTGTCCACATGCCGTTTTAAACGGCATTCATTGCCCACATGCCGCTTTACACGCCATTTATTCCCCACATGCCGTTTTAAACGCCACTTGTTGTCCACATGCCGCTTTACACGCCATTCATTCCCCACATGCCTTGAAAGGATATTGCAAATCATTTTAGTACATATTATGGTGATAAAATTGACAATCTGAGACAAGACACTACAAATTCAGGGTATTTTTGCACTTCATCCAAAATAATCAAAGATGTAATTATTAAAAACAAAAATTGTAATTTCACATTTAATATGTTAAGTTCAGCAGAAGTTGGAAAGTCTCTTTTCAAGCTAGATGTCAACAAACCATCAGGAATTGATGAGGTGGATGGTCGATTGCTTAAACTTGCTGCAAACACAATAGCTTTTCCAGTCTGTCACATTTTCAACCTAAGCTTAGAGCAGGGAATTTTTCCTCAAATGTGGAAATCGGCCAAAATACTTCCGCTCTCAAAAAATAGAAATGTCAGTCTAACTGCTGTTAACAGTAGACCAATTAGCATTCTTCCGATACTCAGTAAATTATTGGAAAGAGTTGTTTTTAAACAGATTTTTAATTATTTAAATATAAATGAGATACATTTTGGATCTCAGCATGCATACAGGGAAAATCACTCGACATGTACAGCACTTACAGAAATGACAGATAATTGGTTGTCTTATATTGATAAGAAGTTGATGGTGGGTGCAGTATTCCTAGATTTCAGCGCAGCTTTAGAAACACATGACGAAACTGCAGACAGCACAGAACAAGGCTGCCAGGCTGGCTCTGGGCTGCCCACTCGTGTGGGGACAGAGCTCAGCTGAGCATCATGACCGTCTCTCATGGCTCAGAGTAGAAGATAGACTCAAATGTCATTTAATGACTTTCTTCACAAACATATGCTATAGTCAAAAACCTACTCATTTGTACAACCTTTTACATTATGTGAGAGATCTGCACAACTATCCAACTAGGCAAGCGGCTCAGGGTCATTTGACCCGCCCCAAACCCAGAACAGAAGCCGTGCGTAGGTCGGTCATATTTAGAGCTGTGACTTTATGGAACAAACTGCCACCGGCTGTTAAACAGGCTGAAACAAAGCTCTCTTTTAAAAGACTATTGAAAAGACATTTTCTGATGGAAGCTTAAGTCTGTTTGTGTGTGTATGTCTATAACTTCATATACAGTATATTTAAATTCTTTATATGTACAGTATGTGTGCGTATAACTGAGGAGAGGTTTTGTATGTGAAGTGTTTTTTTTTCAATTTAACTGCATGATGTGAATATTGTAATTGCTTGAACCGGACCCCAGGAAGAGTAGCTGTCCATTTGGAGACAGCTAATGGGGATCCAAATAAATAAACAATAAACAAATAAACATGCCGTTTTAAACGCCACTTGTTGTCCACATGCCGTTTTAAACACCATTTGTTGTCCACATGCCGCTTTACACGCCATTTATTCCCCACATGCCGTTTTAAACGCCACTTGTTGTCCACATGCCGCTTTACACGTCATTTATTCCCCACATGCCGTTTTAAACGCCACTTGTTGTCCACATGCCGTTTTAAACGCCATTTGTTGTCCACATGCCGCTTTACACGCCATTTATTCCCCACATGCCGTTGTAAACGCCATTTATTGCCCACATGCCGCTTTACACGCCATTTATTCCCCACATGCCGTTTTAATCGCCACTTGTTGTCCACATGCCGTTTTAAACGCCACTTGTTGTCCACATGCCGTTGTAAACGCCATTTATTGCCCACATGCCGCTTTACACGCCATTTATTCCCCACATGCCGTTTTAAACGCCATTTGTTGTCCACATGCCGTTTTAAACGCCATTTGTTGTCCACATGCCGTTTTAAACGGCATTCATTGCCCACATGCCGCTTTACACGCCATTTATTCCCCACATGCCGTTTTAAACGCCACTTGTTGTCCACATGCCGCTTTACACGCCATTCATTCCCCACATGCCGTTTTAAACGCCACTTGTTGTCCACATGCCGTTTTAAACACCATTTGTTGTCCACATGCCGCTTTACACGCCATTTATTCCCCTCATGCCGTTTTAAACGCCACTTGTTGTCCACATGCCGCTTTACACGCCATTTATTCCCCACATGCCGTTTTAAACGCCACTTGTTGTCCACATGCCGTTTTAAACGCCATTTGTTGTCCACATGCCGCTTTACACGCCATTTATTCCCCACATGCCGTTGTAAACGCCATTTATTGCCCACATGCCGCTTTACACGCCATTTATTCCCCACATGCCGTTTTAATCGCCACTTGTTGTCCACATGCCGCTTTACACGCCATTTATTCCCCACATGCCGTTGTAAACGCCACTTGTTGTCCACATGCCGTTTTAAACGCCACTTGTTGTCCACATGTCGTTTTAAACGCCATTTGTTGTGTACATGCCACTAATCAGCTGTGGCAGGTGCCGGTGCCACAAAAGGAGCCTGCCCTTACTGCTGAAAGATCTCAGCTCCTGTGGACTCACCACCTGCAGGAGGATCAGTGAGGGGCTGGTGCTGTGTACTGGGTGCAGCTCTGGCCACCCCCCCGACCCAGAAATAGATTAAGGGGAAGAAAATGGATGGATGGTAGTCCCATGGCATGTTGAGATCAAGACAGATACAATAGGACATACAACAGGCACAAACACACAGAAACACACCATCACAAAGACATTATCAATCAATCAATCAACTTTATTTGTATGGTGCCTTTCCAACACAAGGCCACTCAAAGCGCCTCACAACCCACATAATATCACACAAATCAGAGACATCAATAAATACATTAAAAACAGAATAAAATCACAAATAATGGAAAAAAAAAAAAAAACAAAAAAAATTAAAATATTAAAAGCACACACGGGATTAAAATAATAAATAACCACAATGCATTAAAAAAAAAGAGTATGTATCAATAAAATCCTTCAGCCGTATGCACAGCTAAAAAGAACAGTTTTTAGCCCTGATTTAAAAATTGCCAGAGT